AAGGGGGGCCCCCATCCACTAAAGAGGAAACCAAGAAGAAAAAGAGTCTCTTAGGCCACCTGGATATTTTAGCTTTTTTTGTTTGTGGTGTTTCTTTACAGAGTAGAAACAGAATCTCGAGGAACTCTGCCAGCTCCTCCCTCACATCCATCCTGCTCCATCTGCAGAGCCTGAACCCCAAAGGGTCTTTAGTGGGAATGGGACATAGGGAAGCAAGCTGTCAATCTCGCTTTCCCTTCCATGCCCATAAATCCCAAGCCCCATATGTGGGCACAGACTCCAACTCCCCTTCGTGTGCATGTATAAGGTGACACATGGAATCCTAGGTCCTAAATATCTACCATTTGTGGTCAGCTACAGCATTTGCAAATCAAAACATGACTGAGGTGGGCATTTCTCTTCTATGCTTTGGTGCAATAAGCAGCTCCAAGACTGATCTGGATTAGACCAAGTGCATAAAGCAAACACCAAAGAAAATCCTGCTCACATGAATAACAATCTGAAGACAGAGTATAATGTAATATATGTAAGAAATTGTTTTAAGAGATACAAACATTTCTTCTGTTCCCCAGCTGTGCAGATAAGATATTAACAAAGTGCCAAGGGCATTAAGATCTAATATGAAAAGAAGAGGGATGGGAAGATGTTGTACCTTACCACATAAGAAAAAACAAAATGATAATTTTTATCTGTATTCATTTAGATCACTGAAAAAGGCTAAAACAGAGTAATACACTGACCCTCAGTTCAGAAATATCTGGCACCAAAGGGTGTTAGAAGCATACAAAGTAATAAACATCTAATTTTAGTCTGAACTAGATTTTTACATAAATACTTTCAATTATGAAAGGACATAGGTGGGAGAGACTATAATCACTCTCAGTGTGTAATCTTGGGGTTTTTTTACACTGAAGCTAGTTTACACCACTAAATGAATGCCATTCCACATCTACTAGTTTATCCCATTTCTTCTTTCTTTGTATTTTTGAAATGATTGTTTTACTTCTCTTCTATTAAAAACAAGTATTCCTGTGGCACCTCAGAGACTAATAAATATATATATAGTAATTTTTGTTATTTTTTTTTAGTCTCTAAGATGCCACAGGACTACTCATTGTTTTTAAAGTTACAGATTAACATGGCTACCCCTCCGAGACAGCCATAAATTTTAAATGTTCAAGGTTAGTGGGAGTTAATGCTAAAATGCTACATCAGCAGTTTGAAAAAAATACAAGGATAAGGTTTTTTCTTTCTGCATGTAAGCACGCCAAACTTATCCTGTGACCGAACTGTCTCACTATAAGGCTGTAGCTTCCATGCCATGGATCTGTTGAAGCACAGTATTCAACTTTCCACTAGCTGTGCCTGAGGTTACACAGAAGAAGCAGAATCTACACCAACTTCTCTGTTCTATTAATGCTTAGTTCTATTAGTTCTCAGCTCCCCCTGTATCCAGCCCATGTAGTGCCAGAACTAACAAGCCCGCTCCCAACTCACTAAAGTGGGGAGACAGAATGCTGCTGCCCCCCACCCAGACCAGTGGTGGGGATCACACAAGAGTATTTCCCTTTGGCACGGACACTTTTCCTCAAAAGCACTTTTTGTGGAAAAGCGTCCATGACAATCTAGACGCGCTTTTCCGCAAAAAAGCTCCGATCGCCATTTTCGCGATTGGGGCTTTTTTGCACAAAACAAATCTGAACTGTCTACACTGGCCCTTTTGCGCAAAAGCTTTTGCGCAAAAGGGCCAGTGTAGACAGTTCAGATTTGTTTTGTGCAAAAAAGCCCCAATCGCGAAAATGGCGATCGGAGCTTTTTTGCGGAAAAGCGCGTCTAGATTGTCATGGACGCTTTTCCACAAAAAGTGCTTTTGAGGAAAAGTGTCCGTGCCAATCTAGACACTCTTTTCCGCAAATGCTTTTAATGGAAAACTTTTCTGTTAAAAGCATTTGCGGAAAATCATGCCAGTCTAGACGTAGCCAAAGAGTATTTCACTTATTTCCCAAAACAAGTTCTCCAACTCCAAAATGATAAAATAAATATAAACCAAAGCCAGCAAGACCAGCCCTCATCAGTGAGCAAATTAGTGTATACATATGCAATACGGGACAAACTTTACTCCAGAAAAAAATTCCATGTGAAGGTGTTCTATTCAGAAGAATTTAAACTGAATTTACAAACTATTTAAAATTCCCAGACAATCCCTCAAGAAAAAAATTCCTTTAAGTCACTGAAGTTCTAAAGTAGCATTATTTACACTAATGTATTGCAGCGAAGATTCTGAGTGGTTATTTTCCAGAATGCAGGCTTTGTAAGAATCTTACCTCCAAGGACCATTCCGGCTTGACAGCACTTCCTCAAGCGACATGCTGGACAATTCTTCCTACGAATTTTATCAACTATGCAGTCATTCCTTCCAGCACATAAATAGTTATGCTGTCCTGTAAATGAGAAAACCAGAGTTAGCACAATGTTTCTGATTGTGTCAAGACTGTATCTGAACTGGTGTATGATGATCTAAAAATTAAAGAGACTTCAAACCAAAGGCTGACAAAATATTACAGGAATCACTACAGAGTTTTTTTAACATTATCTTTCAGATATTATCAGATGACACTGTTTTATTATAGTACAGGTTGAACCTCTCTAGTCCAGCGCTCTCTGGTCTGGCAAAATCTGTGGACTGGTATGATTTTAGTTAGCTGGAAATCCACTTATCATGTGTAAGGCTAAGCTTCCTGCAGCCCCATAAAGTTTGTTTACAGCCACCAGTCCTTGCTCTCTGTATTCTCTGCTGTTATTTAGCTTCAATTTACGCCTATATGTCCTTTAACAGCCCAGTAAGCAGTGAAAATGTTGGTAATGCTGCTAGACAATATTGACTTTCCATGGTTTGGCAAATTCTCTGGCTTGGCACCAGTTAAGTCGCAACGGTGCCGGATTAGAGAGGTTCAACCTGTAATTGTTTTAGCTTCTTTATGGTTCACCAATCTTCCATAGCTCCAAAATAGGCATGAACAATCTATGCTGTTCGTGTTACTGTGCAATTGACAGTTCTTGCATAAACCAGGTAATAGGCCAGAATTTGGGATTTCTCCTTTTCTGGTTTTTTTCTTGGATTTTATTTCTCTCCTTTTAAAGCATTTTTTTCTTTTCCCCAGGATAATTAAGGGTGCTTTCCTTTGAGGGGCCAGCCCTCCTGCAAGGGGATGAGTATCCACAACTTCCAGTTCAGGCCATAGAAGCTGGGTCATGTAGCATCCCAGGAATGGGCCCTCTTGGTATGTTACATTTGTCCTGCAATTCCTTTCACTGCTCTTGGAAAATGTCTATTCTATTTTCAATTCTATTTGTTACATTCAAATTTCACAGCTGATACCATCATCAAACCTAGTATTTAATTTGTACCAGGACTGAGCCCTGGAATTCTAGACATGGATGTTCATAGCTCAAGCACTTGCTGGCTTGCCATGTCAGTTAAGAAAGTAAAAAAGAAAACTGTTTGAGCCCCACATGTTTCACTGTAAACCAAACAAACTAAACACTAACCAAACCCATTATATATTGGGAGGCTTAATGCACAAACCTGACAAAACAAATAAAATATGTACGTCGTGGTTAAGAAAGTAAAAAAGAAAACTGTTTGAGCCCCACATGTTTCACTGTAAACCAAACAAACTAAACACTAACCAAACCCATTATATATTGGGAGGCTTAATGCACAATCCTGACAAAATAAATAAAATATGTACGTTGTCTATAAAAGTTCAGAAATAGTAGCAACAAACATTTTCTAAGAGAAAAATATGTATTAGTGACATCCAAAGGGAATAGAAAGTAAAGCATATGAACTTTTAACACATTTGTATGACCACCACTGACAGGCTGCTGTGTCTACACTGGGCCACTTATTCCGGAAAATCAGCCGCTTTTCCGGAATAAGCTGCGAGCTGTCTACATTGGCCCTTGAATTTCTGGAAAAGCAACAACGCTCTATTGTATATTCCGGAAAAACTATTCTGCTCCCGCTCGGGCATAAGTCCTTATTCCGGAACACTGTTCCAGAAAAGGGCCAGTGTAGACAGCCCAGAAGTCTTTTCAGGAAAAAAGCCCCCATCGTGAAAATGGCGATTGGGGCTCTTTTCCGGAAAAGCGCGTCTACATTGGCCACAGACGCTTTTCCGGAAAAAGGGCTTTTCCGGAAAGGCATCTGTGGCCAATGTAGATGCTCTTTTCCGGAAATACTTATATTATAGACACAGCCTTACAGGATTGCGGGGAGGGCTCTCTCCTAAGAAACAATGACTCTGAGAAGCATTTGGGGATCATGGTGGATAAACAACGGCACATGATGGTGATGTCACAGCCAAAAGAGCAAATGGGATCCTGGGATGCATAAACAGGGAAATCTTGGCTAGGAAAAGAGATTACTTTATCTCTGTATTTGGCAGTGGGTCAACCAGTGCTGAGATACCGTGTGCAGTTCTGGTGCTCACAGTTTAAGAAAAATGATGATAACTTGGAGAAGGTTGAGAGAAGACTCATGAGACTGACTAAATGATTAGAAAACCTGCCTTACAGTGACAGACTCAATAAGCTCAATCCAAGGGCCAGTGTAGACAGCGCGCAGCTTATTCTGGAAAAGCGGCTGATTTTCCGGAATAAGTGGCCCAGTGTAGACACAGCCACACAGTATCTGAGCACCTCACAATCTTTAATGTATTGTATGCTCACATTTTTAAATCTGCAGTAGTCCTAATAGACTATATCCCGTAGTCCTAATAGAAGTGGCTGAGGAGCTTGCTTGTTGTTTTTAATGATGACTTTTAATAAATCTGGGAGCATGAGGGAAGTTCCAGAAAGCAGGAAGAAAGCTAATACTGTACCAATTTTTTTTAAAAAGAGTAATTGGGATGACCTGGGTAATTATAGGCCTGTCAGGCTGACATTGAGCAACTGATATGGGCCTCAATTAATAATGACTAACCAAACCCATTATATATTGGGAGGCTTAATGCACAATCCTGACAAAATAAATAAAATATGTACGTTGTCAAAGGAGGGTAATGTAATTAATGCAAATTGGCATGTGTTTATAAAAATAGATTTTATTAAAATAACTTGATATTGTTGATGAGATTACAAGTTTCGTTGATGAAGATAATAGAGTTGATACAATATATACAGACTTCTTTAGTTTGACTTGTCATCACATGACATTTTGTTTAAACAAACAGAATGGTATAAAATTAATATGGCATACATTAAATTAGTTTAAAAACTGGCTACAGGTAGGTCTCAAAACATAATTTTAAATGGGGAATCATCATTGAGAAGATCTGATTCTAGTGGGATCCTGTTGGGTTAGGTTCCTGGCTCAATGCTATTTAACATCTTTCTCAAAGACCCGGAAGAAAATAAAGTCATCACTGATCAAATTTGCAGATGACACACAGATTGAGGGAATAGTAAATAATAATGAGGACCTGTCACTGATTCAGAGCATTCTGAACTGCTTGGTAAACTGGTAAACTGCAAATAATCTGAGTTTTAATGTAGCTAAATATAAATATACTGATCTGGAAACAAAGAGCGTGGGCCATACTTACAGGATTGCGGGGAGGGCTCTCTCCTAAGAAACAATGACTCTGAGAAGCATTTGGGGATCATGGTGGATAAACAACGGCACATGATGGTGATGTCACAGCCAAAAGAGCAAATGGGATCCTGGGATGCATAAACAGGGAAATCTTGGCTAGGAAAAGAGATTACTTTATCTCTGTATTTGGCAGTGGGTCAACCAGTGCTGAGATACCGTGTGCAGTTCTGGTGCTCACAGTTTAAGAAAAATGATGATAACTTGGAGAAGGTTGAGAGAAGACTCATGAGACTGACTAAATGATTAGAAAACCTGCCTTACAGTGACAGACTCAATAAGTTCAATCTGTTTATGTAAGCAGGGGAATGGTCCCGCTATTGTGGGGAACTTTCCTGGCTTCTATACTATGCTGGTGAAATGGACCAACGAAAGAATCTGAGTCCCCGCTCCCACTTCCTTTACCCTATGGCGTCCCTGACCTTGAGGGCTCCCCTTCCACTCTCCTGAGTAGCAGAGTCCTCGAAATCCCAACAAGGCTGGGCCCAGGTTTCCTGGGGCTTAATCCCTGACCTTGTAGTCACTTGGCGTAGGGTCTAAGGTGTCCCCACTCTGGGGTGCTCTCTTCATACTGCATGCTTTCTCGACCCAGTGATCATTTCATATGGCTCAAAGCAAACACAATTTATTAAACATCAACTGTTTGAAGAGAAAAGAATAAAAAAAATCAAAAGGTTAAATGAGAACACACAGTCCTGCTCTGTAGCATGGGGAGCTGTGGGGGATGAGGGATGGGGGTGGGGGGGAGGGCTGCAGGTTGGATACACTTGCTCTGGCAGTGACCACACAACTTCAGGCTCTAGGTGACAGGACCCCTCTCCCAGTTGGAGTTACAATCCCTTTCCAAGTCTGGCATGCAGGGCCTCTTGGCTGGTGGTGTCTCCCTTCTCAGAGCCTCTCCCCCCTCTTTGCTGGTCCCAGCTGCTCACCACACCCAGCTGCAGACTGTTCTGCTTTGCCAGTCTCCAACTCCTTGTGTTGCTTCTCTGTCCCCTTTGGCTCTCTGGTCACTGCAAGTCTGCTGCTCAACACAGGGTCTGTGCTCCTTGGGCTGTGTGTGCCTGGCTCTGCTGCTGCAGGACTGCCCCTTAACACTGAGTCTGGGCTCCTTGGGCTCTGGCACTGCACGTTTGTCTCTCCACACAGCTTGCTCTTCTTGCTGCCTTTCTTAGTTCTCTCTCCTTTTCTCAGAGACCCAGAAAATCCCAGCTCACACAGAGGATGGGACCTGGCCTCTTATTTTCCTCACTGGCCTGTACAACCTGTCAATCAGGCTGAGCTGAAGTGTTGGCTGCTTTCCATTGTCTCTGGGCTCTGTCCGTCTCAGGACCCTGATTTCTCATGGACCCTTCCCCTTTTGGTACTGGGAGCTGGCCAATCAAAAACTCCCACTGAGTTTTAGTAAGGGGCTAACAGTCCCCTTACATTTAGGTCAACAATACAAAGTTGTGAGGTGACTTGATTTCAGTCTGTAAGCAACCATATGAGGAACAAATATTTAATATTGGTCTCTTCAAACACAGAAGCAAAAGATATAAAATGATCCAGGTGAAAGTGAAGATAGACAAATTTAGATGAGAAATAAGGTGTAAAGTTTTAATCATGAGAGTAAGAAATCATTGAAATTACTTACCAAAGGGCTGTAATGAATTCTCCATCACTGACTACTATTAAACCAAGACTGGATGTTTTTCTAAAAGATACGCCCTTAGGAATTACTTTGAGGTTTATGGCTGCAGAACACATAGGACCTGACCATAACGTGCATTCATTTAGGGTTGCCAG